GCGTCGGAGCCGTGGAGTCCGTTCGGCTGCAGCAAAGCGGCCGGGAGGTGGTGAAAGGCGGCTGCCCAGTGGTGAGGGTGCAAGGGGTGGTGGTGGTGGGCCATGGAGGAGGTCATGGCGGCAGCTTCCCTCTGGGGGGCACAGGGGCTCAGGTGAGACACGAGTCTAACGCGCAGGGGGTCAGACGTGTCGAGACCTTCCACCGAAGTCAGGTACCTCGCGACTTCCGTCAAGCACTCCCGGAAGCCGATGCTCATGAAATCCATGGCCAGGGAATGAGCGTCAAAATAACCTGCAAGGGGAGGGCAAAAGAATGCGTTGAGTATCGAGCCGGCCTCCCAGCCGACGTTAGGTGACACGGCTAACCCGGTCCTCGCTCAGCCGCCAGAAATCCCACGTACGGGTTAAGATTCGCAACGCAAAAAGTTTGGTCTCTGATCTGTAAATGATTTGTGTGATCGTCCCTGTAGTGCACTAGGGCTGCAGTTGTTTTTGCAGACAATATACAAATGAAAAGAATTAAGTCTGTACGTACTCGTGATACTTAAAAAGATATACGATGCCTCTCCTGAAATTCCTCAGCAAGCTGCTGCAGTGCAGTATTGACCCAGCGCGCGTGTGTGAACCAGACGTTTATCCGCACAAAGAAACAGGCTGGAGATCAGAGAGCTTGCATGTACTACCCTGCCTTTTCTTCCCTACTCTGGCATTCCTAGTAACGCCCTCAAACTATTTCTCGACATTGTGAGATAGTTGTTGTAACTGCTGCCGGGGTCCCATCTACTTCACAGAGTCATTAAGACAATATGACATACGGTGTTATTTAACTACAAACTAAAAACATCTTGTCATGACTCTGCACACACACAATAAAAAGCTTTACTGAGGAAACGTTTTATGTAATGCCATTGCTAATTTGGAGATGGAAGACTGACAGTCATATGGCCCATGAGGTATTTCAACAAACAGCAACTGGAGCTCCACAGGCTTGGGACAAAAAAGCATTTGAAAAAAAAAATTGTCTTATTAAATGCACATGAAAAGATATTCCCTTTCTAAAAGGGTCTAGCATCAAATCTAGTGCTTAAGCTGCAGCTCGTCAACTACAAAAACCTATTCCAGTTTTTAGAATTTTCCTATTTTAGTTTAAAAGTAGTCTCCTTGGGGAAATAATTTCCTATTCACTCCCAAGCTGGCATGGTGTTTTCTCCTCTTGCTTTCAGTGAAAATTTTTAGGTATGCGTGACTATTGATGTGTGTTAGTATATAAAGATCAAGCGTCCTCGTTATGGAGGAGTGTGGGAGCAATACCTGCATTAGGCCTTGCACCCTCTGGCCTGAAATAGTCTCAGTCTTTCTGAAAAATGCTAGCACCTTAGATAGTTGTTTTTGCTTTTATCAACTTTCAAGCAAGGAAAAAGCCTTTCTGTTGCTGCACACACTTGGGCACATTTATAGATGTCGCCCCAAATCCCCTGCCTGCTATATTCCCCTTCTTGCCAAATCCCGACAGCAATTTTGATGCAGGCTGCCTGGCTCATCTGAGGCTGTACAAAACGCGAGAGAAACGCCGTCTCAGACAGCAGATCGGTGCGCACGAGGGCTTGAGGACTCGTCCCAGCAAGTACTGACTCCTCGCAGCTTTTTTCCTGCCAGGTCCGCTGCGACCAAGCGCTCTGCGGAAACGCCGCGGTTTGAGTGAACTCCAGAGAAGCGAGCGCCAGGCAGGCCAGCCGCGGCGAGCTAGCAGGGTACCTGCTCGGGTGCCAGCCAGCCTGGCATGGGGACTGCCTCCGCGCCGGAGGCTCCAGGACCTCCGGCAGCTTCAGAGGGGCTGACGCGCAGCCAAAGCCGCCTCCCGGCTCTGGCCACGAGTCAGCCAGCCTGGGAGTCCTGAGAGCGCACGGCTCAAGCCAGGGCTTCCCAGCCTCCTTCCCTCTGGACCACAGGAGACGTGGGGGATGTGGTTGCCACCAGATTCCCCCGAGTCTGAGCTGCTGGCTCTGTGACGAGCCGTCCCAAAGCCCTGGTGATCCTGGCTCCATTTCAGTCTCCTATGGTGGCTGAGACATGAAAACAGAGGGGAGATGAGAGCTGGGACTCCCACGCTCCATTGTGTTTCGATTTTGATGGTTATCTTTCCAGGTTTCCCCTTTGCTGGCTTCCCCTTTCTGAGAGAGACTTAAAAATCTTGTTTCTTTCCAAAACCCAGAATATCCTCCACCACACCCATACGCATACACACCGGTGTTTTGTAGCGAACGGGAAGTCTCAGTTTTCCTTCAGCTATTCGGGCAACCCACCTGCTCCGCACACAGGACACCGGCTAAGTCATTTAAGCTATATTAACCCATGTTGCTGACCCAGGTGTCAGTCACCCAAGCTAAATTTGCAGCGAAGCTGCAATAAAACACCACCAAGGTCCCAGCGAGCTACTCACTGTTGACAAATTACTCCTCCCCTGTGCTTGCTTGCACAGTCAGCGAAAAGCCCTGGCCCCAGGCCAAAATAATAACTCAACGTGAACAGGAGACCATTGCCCGCACCTCAATCAGGGCAGCGGAAACACGGAGTCCGGTGCACGCTGCCGGGGCAGCTCAAAAAAGCAGAGAAGGGAGGGGAGCCACATCGGGTTTTCTTCTGCCGTGCCCACCTCGGGCTCAGCATGCTGAGCAGCGGCCGACTCCACCCTGGCTTTCCTAGCCCCGGGCATTCCCCATCGTGGGTGTCCTCCATTTCTGCGTGAGGAGGAAGAGGACGAGCTTTTCCCAGCCCTCAACGCAGGGAAGCATAAGGGTATCAGGACTCATTTCTCCCTGGTGCGATAATAGCTTTTGTCCTGGTGCGATATTAGCTTTTGTCCATAGGAAAAAAGATGAGACTAATTTTTTTTCTGATCCAAAAAAGTTTCTGGCTCGGAAGATGAGTTACAAAGTGAGAATAACTATGTTTGCAAATAAAACAAACATCTGCCTTAAAAACTCCCTAAGAAATGATATTTAAAGCCGTTGCTTAGGTTGCAAAGTAAAACATTAAGCAAGCCTGAAACGCAGGCTTAAACTTTGCCCGGTACTAACTCGCAAACCTCTTTTTCTTGAAGTTTCTTAATCCATGCAGTGAGATTACTCTTATCTCTGGGTCAGAAGGAGAAGATAAAGCCATAGCATTTGTGAAGCAGCTGGGTAGTATATCGATGTGCCACCCGCTACGGGCCGCGAGTAACAAACGGGTCTGTGTACGGCGTGAAGGCGGCTGCGGTTGCCCACCCGGCGGCAGCGGGCTCACGCGGGTGTAAA